TACAAATATAAGTTTATGTGCATTTACTGAAGGATGTATTGTGGTTGTTTCAAAGTGTAACCACAGATTTATTTCACATCAGAAATTATCTAATCATTAAGTATGTCATACTGTATTTATCTTATTGAAAAACAACTTTTATCTTCTATTTATTCTTATTTTATTATAGAATCCATTAATTGATCAATGGCTATTTCTTTTTGCAAATTAATTGAAACCTTTTCAAATCACACAATAAAAATAAAATTTTTATTAAAATGAATAAACAAGTTTTGAGAGCAAGAATCTCATGGCATTTTATTTGCTTCCTTCCCTTTAACTTATTTGTTTTTGGTGCTTAATGAGGAACTCATATGGCTGACACTAAACTAATTAAGTATTCTTTTATTAATTCTTCACATTTAAAAATAAAAAACAATTATTTAAAGTTATTGTTACCTTCTTTGCGGAACCATTTGATAGCATTGATTTTTCATTTTATAAAGAATGAGTTATTATTAAATATGCTTAATATTGTTTCTATCTATCATCCAGAAAGGCGAATGAATGATTCAAAATAAATTCATTTTTTAATTCAGAGCCGTAATAGCTGGTTAACAACCTTTTTTAAGACTTCTATAACATATTTTATTATCTAAAATTTAATCACATTCATCTTCCTTTAAATGATAACATTATTTCTTCACACATCTATATTATTCTAAATCAAAATAACATTTATTTTAAGCTCTACATTTTGATATATCAGATTATTAACAAGAATCAATTTCTTATATAGATTTACATTTACAATCTAAATTGTCTTGATTCCACATACAAATTTCTTTTCTAATACAAAAATTTTTATTTATTCCTTCTATATTACAATAATCTTAAGTGATTAATTATGTTTAACATTTATAATTAATTGGATCATATGCACAATATTAATCTATAATAGATGCACATACTTTTGAATTTACTTAACTTAAGAACATACAAACACTTTAAATTTCACGAAATATTTAACATTTATTATCTTTAAAAATACATGGTTCTTGTTAAACTGATACACAACCCAATGAATTTAAACCTAAAGTATTACATTTCAATGACCAAATATTAAATAAACTAGTGCATTAATAATTATCAATATCATAAATACATTTAGTATTTTAAACTTGACTACGACATGAATATTCATTAACAATTAATTAAGAATCACATTCAATAGTTTCAATTAATTCTTAACAAATATTTCCATTCCAATATGTTGGAATACTTTTATTTTAAATACATGCTAATTTTGATACTCCTAATCCTACAACATCATTTTTAAAATCAATACAACTATTATTTTCTTTATTATATACACAAGATAAATTAGGAATCATCTAACAAACATATGATGATACATCTTTGAAATCTGAACATTATCGTTATTATAATTAAGTAAATTCAATACATGAATTTAACCATTAACATTTTTAATTTGGAATTGATAAACATGTTATTTTACTAATCCCTTCTGATGAACATAATATTGTTTAAATATCTTTCTTTACACAAGAATTCATTTCATAAACACAATTAATACTATGATGTATGCATACATTTTTATTCACATTTTCCATTTAAGTAAAAGTTGCATTCCAATTTAGACATTTTTAATCTCTCCAAAAACAAAATTAATTATCCTTTTTTACATTTATACAACCCCAAAGATTAAGATATTCTGTACATTAAATATTTTCAAAATCTGTAACCTCTTAACAAAATGAATTTTTCCAAACACATGCCATATCTTTAATACGTGATTTCATACAATAATCCTTTGTAAGAAGTTATTCACATTTACCACTTAATAATGGAGATTTATAATTAGGAGTTTGAAGAAATATTAAATTTGAAATTGTTTTCAACTAATATAACGATAAATCTTAATCTGGTAAACAGGAAGATGATATTTTATCAAATCTACAAGGATCTATTGCATTACTTGAACATGCTATACTATTGATATTATCAGGGAGATCTTTACAAAATATTTTAGTATATAATGGATTAAAATCAGTACACTAATTATTTAACCATTAACAATAGATAACATTACTTTCAAGGCATTTAGATTTTGTCATATATTATTAACAATTCTAATAAGGAGAAGTAATACATCGATTAGATTCCCAAATACAATTATCAGAAGCCAATTCACAAGTTGGCTTATTGAAATTAATTGAACATGATTTAGGAATAAAGACAATTTTATTACATAACATTGATAGTGGATCATATATACAAGGTTCATCAACTACTGCATTACAAGCATAAAGAGAATTAAGGTTAGATGCAGATTCACATGTACTTATTTCTTGATTTTGACATAAATAATTTAATTAATCCCATTTACATACTTATCCATATGTTTATACATTAAGACAAGCTTATTGATTTAATTAATCTATACAGTTTACTGAATATAAATTTGCATCATCACAATAACCTCCATCATTAATTTAAATCCATTAACAAGGAATATTTGTCAATTAAATACAAGCTTATTGATTTAATCCATAAAGATTACAATTATTAATTTTTACATTGATTTCAGTACATTTAGTATTATCGTAATATTTAGCACAATTTTTATTTGTTTATCCACTGCATGCACTCATAGATGTATTAATTGAAAAATTTAAATCTTCACAATCTGTATTTGTGATAGTAAGAGAATCACAAATTTTTAATGTTTCATTCCAAACACAAATAATATTGGATAGAATAACATTTTAACATGCTCTTTAATTTAAATTATCACAAGAATTTATTTATTTATTTTATTTTAAAAGAACATTCTAACATTTATCATCTTTCCATTAACAACTTAATTCTTTAGTTAGATCACTTAAACAAGCATCTTTAGATAAATTATAACAACTCTTTTATAGTTCATTAATTATTAAATTACATTTAAAATAAACAAATTTCCAAGTTCCTGATTATTTAATACAACCATATTTATTTAATTAATCTTATTCTCCTGTTTCAGAACAAATAGATCCATCAAAATAACAAATATTCTATATTTAAGAACATTATTTAGCTGTTACTCCTTAACAAGTTGTATTATTGTATTCAGAAATTAATTTACATTTTTAATCTATAAAAGAATACATACATTATTCTTAATTTAATTATTTACATGCTGCATAACTGGATTGAAATTCAGATAAATCTGTACATTATGTAATTGAGTTATTTTTAATATTTTTACATGATTAATCCCAATAACAAAAAAGTAATGAATTTAGATGACTTAAATCTTCTAAACAAAGATCTTAATTTAATTATTCACATGTTAAAGATTCAAAATTTTTATCAGAATAACAAAATCCTAATCCTCTTTTAGTAAATCCATAAGTACAATTTTGAAATTATTAACATGCTTAAAATGAATGGAATCCTTTAAGAGAAGGACAAGATGAACCTCCAAATTCAGAACAATTTCCTTATGACCAAGTACAAGCAAATTATTTATTTTTAAGAATGCAGTTATATATAGAGGATGAATCACAATACCAATAAACTTTTATTTGATTTGTCTGTTAACATTTTTAATCAACATAAATACAATTAGGATATTAGAGACAAAATTCATAATTTGTTTTATCAAAGAAATCACAACTATAATTATTATTTGGAAGATTAAAACATTTACCATCTTTCTGTACACATTTCATATTTAAAGAATTATTATCACTACAAGTTTGTTATGAATCTTCACAGAATGTATGACTATAGAATTAACATTTATTTTGAATAAATTAACAATATTAATTTGGTATAGATCCACAAGCATATTAATTTAATTGACTATCACATGAATATAATTCATAATTAGATTATTATTAAATTGTTTAACATATTATTCCATTTGAGACTATAAAAGTATTACTTGTATTTAGACTACAATTATAATCACTTCCATATTCTGTAATATCATTAGTAGATATAACACAAAGTTAACCATTCCAATAACATTTATTATAAGCATAATAAGAACAAGAAAATTAATTTAAATATTTACAATCAGAAACATATGATTATTATGTCAAATATTGACATTTATTATTAACAAAACCACATCTATGATTTTATGTATATAATATGCATCCTAAATAAGATAATCCTTAAGTATTGCATTCTAAATCAGTTTATACTGGTGTTCTACAACCATTAATAGAATCATAATAACAACTATCATTAGCCCTTGAACAATGATTTGGATTTATTTAATTTATAGATATATTAGTATTAATAGTAGAACAAGTTTCAGTAGAAGTATCTATTTATATACATTTCTTATCAATTATAATATTATTAGGAGAGACATAATCTAATAATTTACAATATTATCCATTTGTTTCAACTTTTGTACAAGCTTTCAAATTAGCTTATTTACATAATATAGTATTTAAGACAATATATGCATCCATTGAATTATCAATTAAAGTCTTACATTAATTTTTTAAGAATACACACATCTAAATATATTCTCCTGTTAAACTCAATCCTGTTAATCCACTGCATCTATGTATATTCATTTATTCAGATTCTCCACAATCTATTAAAGTATTCGATTTGCTTTAACATATGTTATTTTCATAAGTACAATAATTATCTTTCATAAACTATTTTGTCATATCTGATTCAAGTGCTGTACATACACGATAACTTTAATTTGCATATTCAGCACAATTAATAAAATATTCAGAATATCTTTTACATTAATTTAATTATGTGTCCCATAAACAATTTTAACCATCTTTATTAATTGACAAACATGTTTATTCATTAACAAAATTTTATATACATTACAAATTAGATAATGTTGAAATATTATCATCATTAAATTTAATACATTTTTTAATTTCTAAATTAAAATAAGTAAAAGAATCCTTAACCTATTGACAACCATAGGGATTTAAATTTTCAGTATAACTCAATCTAGTATAAATGCTTGGAGTGTAACATGAATGAGTAATTTCATCATATAAACACACTTTAGAAGAGGATGTATATAATTAACAAACATATTAATTTACATTCTCAAGAGAAGAACATTAAATTGAATTTATGTAAGATTCAGAAATATATTTACATTTTCCAGCTAAAAATTAACATTATTCACCAAGTTTCTTTTTATTTACACATAATTCCTTTGAAAAACCATATCCTTCACATCCATAAAGTTCAAATTCAGTCATTTTTATTTCCATACAAGAATTTTATTCTTAATCATAAATACAAATCATATCAGGATTAGAAACTTTTGATTTTTAGCATATTCTCTCATTAACAAATTCTTACTCTAAACAATTTAATTCTCTAACTTCAGTTTCTGCAACACTTATACAAATCTATTAGTAAGGATCCCATTTACAATATCCTGGTTAAACCTTTAAACAAGAATAACTATTGATTTATTTAAAATCATTAGCATAAATTCTCTTATCTAATATACATTTTCCTTATTCTGAAAAATATTCTGCTGCTATATTTTATTGATATTTGCAAAAATTTCTATTACTTAAAACCTTAAGATATCTTTCTATATAATAATATTCAAAGTCAATCAGAGCTTTGTGAGTAATTAATATTGGATAATCTACAATGTTGTAACATATCCTTCTTGCTTAATCCCAAAAACAAATTTAATCACTTAATTCAATCATCATACAAGATCTTGCATTAAATGCTTATTCACATTTCATTAATTTAAATTATTATTCTGTTACTCTATAACATCTTTAAAGTGTATTATCCCATCCACATTAATCTACAAGTTATGAACAATACATTTGTTAAAGACCTAATTAATTACAACTATTTTAAGGTGCACATATTTTAGTAAAAAATATTTTATGTTCTCCTAAAAATTTACAATCTTTTATTGCTTCACAAGCTTCTTTTGTTTTTATTGTAAATGAAGAACAACTTTTACTACATTTATTTGTAGACGTATCTATATAATAATCAAATATTTATGAACATTATCTAACAGTACAATCAGCATTAATACAATCAGCAATATATTCCTATTCTTCATTGACACAAGGATATTCATATTCAATTCCTTTTAATCTACAAATATTTGTATTTGAATAATAATAAATGCATTAATAATAATCGATAGATTTACAACTTAAATTCAATTCCATAATTTTTTCTTCATTATTCAAATCAACTTTATCAAAAACCTTACAAACACCATCTGAGTATACAAATTGTTTTGTTATTGAAGGATTTCTATTTAAATATTTACAATAAATATGATTAATACCCCTTACTTATTCTGTCAACCTCAAAAGATTTAAAAAATCAGCATCATTCTCTATTTCTAATGCAATACATCCTTCTCGATATCGATAAGATTTANTTTACATTCTCAAGAGAAGAACATTAAATTGAATTTATGTAAGATTCAGAAATATATTTACATTTTCCAGCTAAAAATTAACATTATTCACCAAGTTTCTTTTTATTTACACATAATTCCTTTGAAAAACCATATCCTTCACATCCATAAAGTTCAAATTCAGTCATTTTTATTTCCATACAAGAATTTTATTCTTAATCATAAATACAAATCATATCAGGATTAGAAACTTTTGATTTTTAGCATATTCTCTCATTAACAAATTCTTACTCTAAACAATTTAATTCTCTAACTTCAGTTTCTGCAACACTTATACAAATCTATTAGTAAGGATCCCATTTACAATATCCTGGTTAAACCTTTAAACAAGAATAACTATTGATTTATTTAAAATCATTAGCATAAATTCTCTTATCTAATATACATTTTCCTTATTCTGAAAAATATTCTGCTGCTATATTTTATTGATATTTGCAAAAATTTCTATTACTTAAAACCTTAAGATATCTTTCTATATAATAATATTCAAAGTCAATCAGAGCTTTGTGAGTAATTAATATTGGATAATCTACAATGTTGTAACATATCCTTCTTGCTTAATCCCAAAAACAAATTTAATCACTTAATTCAATCATCATACAAGATCTTGCATTAAATGCTTATTCACATTTCATTAATTTAAATTATTATTCTGTTACTCTATAACATCTTTAAAGTGTATTATCCCATCCACATTAATCTACAAGTTATGAACAATACATTTGTTAAAGACCTAATTAATTACAACTATTTTAAGGTGCACATATTTTAGTAAAAAATATTTTATGTTCTCCTAAAAATTTACAATCTTTTATTGCTTCACAAGCTTCTTTTGTTTTTATTGTAAATGAAGAACAACTTTTACTACATTTATTTGTAGACGTATCTATATAATAATCAAATATTTATGAACATTATCTAACAGTACAATCAGCATTAATACAATCAGCAATATATTCCTATTCTTCATTGACACAAGGATATTCATATTCAATTCCTTTTAATCTACAAATATTTGTATTTGAATAATAATAAATGCATTAATAATAATCGATAGATTTACAACTTAAATTCAATTCCATAATTTTTTCTTCATTATTCAAATCAACTTTATCAAAAACCTTACAAACACCATCTGAGTATACAAATTGTTTTGTTATTGAAGGATTTCTATTTAAATATTTACAATAAATATGATTAATACCCCTTACTTATTCTGTCAACCTCAAAAGATTTAAAAAATCAGCATCATTCTCTATTTCTAATGCAATACATCCTTCTCGATATCGATAAGATTTATACACTAAATACTATAGATCTCAATGATTACAATTGCTTAATTTAATTTCTTTAGACTCTCTAATTGTATACCATGCATAAGATCCATTTGCAAATTAGTAATTATTTTGCATTTAAACTGTATTTGGATTATCAAAATTAATAGTATCATTTACTTATAGACCCACTTCCTTTTTCAAAATTGTATCAGCTTCAGCATATAAATTAGGAGTATATGAAATTAGATCCCATAAAAGAGTATTATGAATTACTAAATAATTTTCAATTAAAAAGCAAGCAGATGCACTATAAGGGACTGTATCAAAATCTTTTTGAACTTAATTCCATTGATTTTGATATAATATCTAACATTTATCATCTTTCCAAAAGCAAATTTATTCTGCATTCTAAATAGCTAAGCAACCAGATTTTGATAAATTATTTAAACATCCCTCTGTTTTGATATTTGGAATAACTTCACATTTGTCGATGAAACGACCTTTGTTAGATTAGATGAAGTACATTTAGCTGGTTAACCTTAGGCATTACCGATTTATTTTACGCATGCTTTCTTATTCAAAGTTTAACTGCAGCCTTATAAATAATCATTGGTTTTTTAACAAATCTTTCTACTGATGAGCCACATACATTATTCAATGTCACTGTTAATGCAAGTTTGATGGGTTTCATATTCTCCACAATAATCAATACTTTAGACACTAATAACAAGAAGTAAAAGAACTAATTAAATTTAAAAAGAATACATAATAATATATGTTTATATTACTAAATTATAATTTATAATTATGTTATTTCAATTAAATGAATTAAATATAAATGCGTCATTATTATAAATGAAATATAGATTATTGCTTCATTTTTAATAATATTACATTAGCATATCCGAAGAATAATCTAGAAAATAAATTTATTGAAGAAAATTGATATTACGCTTTCTATATCATAATATTTCTCCTTCAAATTCTTTTATCTAATGTCCTTATCATTAATAATATAATTAAAAAATGCACGCAGTTCCTGAACATGTCACAATTGGACTTCCAAGAGAAGGATTACACACATTTGATGATAAGACAGAGTTGGCAAAACATCCAGCACCATACAGAATCAAAGAAATTGAAGGTTTAATTCTTTATTAAATTGTATAGTCTAATACACTGATGAGCATATCATTGGAACAGTCTTCAAATATGCTGATGCTAAAGGACATACAATTGAAGGACATGATATTGAAAAATTCAAGCCTTTTGGTCATTTGTTCGGTAAAGTGCACAAGAAGCACTTCAAAATTGATGATGGTAATTATTATTTAATAATCATCATTAGATGATGAAATCCTTGAAATTTCAGGACATGCAGGTGCTAGAATCAACGAATTGAAATTCAAGACATACAGAGGAAAAGAGGAATCATTTGGAGTTAAGAATGGTGTCCACTTTGTTTATTCATTCCCAGGACATACTTTTGGAGCAGTATCTGGTGGATATGAAAAACATTTGGATTTCATTAGAATTCATGTTAATGAACTCCCCCCTGCCAAACATCATTTGAAGATTATCATTATCAAGAGTTGATTTATTAATTATATAATAAATATGTAATCATAAATAAATAATACAACAATAACATCTAATGGTACATACTATAAATAGAATTGCTCTAGAATCAATGTTATTAATTAAATTATTGCTAAAAAATAAATTACTAATAATAACTAATTTTAGGTCAAATTTTAGCAATTTTATAGAGATAGAATGTAATTGAATAAAATCCAAAAGAAAGATAAACTTGAATTACATGATTAAATACTGCGACTTTATAAAACTAATTAAGTTGCTCAATAAATAAATTTAACTCTATCTACTTAAGACAATATATTCATTTAATCATTTTCTAAACCAATTAAAATTTCATCTGAAAGAAGAAGACCTAGATCATAATCTACTCATAGAAATATTTTTAGTTCACCTAAAACTACAAGACCAATATTAAAAGATGTTTTGAGAATATCTCCTAAATGTATTAGCAATAGAACAACTATATCATCAAAAAATGATATTAGATCTGTTAGAAAAAACATATTTTTAGATGCATTAATCCTTTAATAAGATAGCTAAGATTTATTTTGATATATTTGTCATCTGAACTAAGTGATTGTTTATAGTTCTATATGTATATATATATATATTTAAATTATCAAAACTATTAAATGTAAACATGTTTCACAATCTGTTCACAAAACTCTTTTTCAGAAATAATTCCATCTTTATTTTTATCTAATATTTTAACCAATTTTATAAGTTCTTAAATTTACTTTGGAGTATGCAATATATTCTCAAAATAATTCATTAAATCATCTAAAGTTATAAAACCTATCTATAGAATATATTATCACCTTTCTTATTCTCATCTATTTAAAGAAATAGTTATTTTAAAAAATGTCCTTTTAATTGATTTTAAATTTTTAATTTATTTAGTAATAATTATAGGATATTCTAATCTTCATATTCATTAATTTTAAATTCACTAACTTCAATATCATAATGATTTTATATTTAATTATGATGACTTTAAGATTATAGATGTTTATTAAATTTATCACTCTTTAAATTTGTAGATTCATTAGTTCTAAAATTTGTTTTTGGTAATAAATTAGATTTGTTATCTGATATCAATTTTTAATTTTTTTAAGGAGTGAAAAATTTATAATTTACATTATTATCTTCGTGAGCAAAAACCAAATATAAAAAATCAGAATAATTTATTCTATAATCCCTATCTTTGCTATTTCTATAGATAAAATTTTCAATATCTTTAAAATTATACTATATTTTAGATTCATCAAAGTATTATTATAGTCTTACATAAATAATCTATTTTACCCTTTTTAATCCCATCTTCTACCAGAATTTACTGATTCCCAAGCTGTTATTTTATCCCAATCTGGTTAGGCCTTCAATTATTACATTTATTATAACATTCTTTTGTTTAGTTCAATTTCTGCTAAAAATACTTCTATTAATTATTTCTCAACTAAACTTGGCAACTTATTATCCAATAATTGATATGATTATCTACTATTAGCTAAACTATTTAAATCTTAATCTCTATGAGGTAAAATATATCTCGAAAACCTATTTTTATTTTATAAAATAACTCGCTAAATGAAATATATTGATCCTTATCGATGTCTATCTTTCTAATTATGAATTATAAATCATCCTCACAATCTATTATATTATTATCTAAAAAATAAACTTTTAAATCATTAATATCTATATGAAGGATTCTAATAATCAGCTATTATAATACTTTTTATAATCTAATCTGCAAAAAATTGTGTAAGGTTCAAAATAAAGATTATGGGCTAATTATTCTCGCTTATTCTCGATTTCATTTTCAAGTTTCAAATACCCATCTAAGTATTTTCTTAACAATTAAAGAGTTTTTTATGATAACATTTTAATATGACAATAAATTTTATTATTTTATAATAACAACTATTTAATTTTTCATATTCATATTAATTGTTTTAGTCATATAATATTTTTCAAAATATCATCTATTTAATAATATATAAATCTATTATTTTTATTGATATATTTGAATATACCATTTTTTTCTTCAATTTAATTTATAACTTAAGATAATTTACTTTCTAAAATTTTTTTGTTAAGTGATAAATTTTATTTGAAGAATAGCTAAAACTATTCACAAGCTCTTCTTTTTTTCTGGGGAAGTAAATTAACTTTGTATTTCTATTTTTTTATCTAAAAATATTTATGTAATTCTTATAAACCTAAAAATTGAAGCTCATTTATTTTTCTATATTATTCCTCTAATTTATGTAAAAAATCATTTAAAATTAAAAAAAAAGATTAATCTAGTTTATTTTTTTTTAATTGTTTTACTTTTATATAAGATTTATGTGAATCTTTTTTATATTTTTTAAAAAATTGATTCTGATTAAATTATATTTGTAAGTTAATATTCAATAAAACAAATCAAATTTCTAAAAATCTATAATTCTAATTTATTTCCTTTTCTATGATAGATATTAAGCCTTTTTCACTTTTAATTTATTGTAATTCCTTTTTAATATATACAATTTAATTCAACTACTTTTTTTGTAAACCATTAATTTTAACGATAAGGAGATTTCATTATTTATAGGTAGTAGGAATAAGACTAGTATTTGAATCTCAAATCAACTTTTAGTTTAAGAGTGTTTCTATGGTAAATTGAGATTTAATTTCTTTTCTATGAATAAAATGTTAGGAAGATTGTTGATCACTATTTAAAAAAAAATGTAAAAGATTTCTTGGAAGATATAAATGGGAAATCTCTTTAAGATTTGATATTTGAAATAATAAATAACAATGAAATTATTTTATAATGAACCATCTATCAATGTTATTAATTTTAAGATTAATTCTGGAATCTCAAATCGTAATTTTTGCTTTTTATTTGATGTGACGAATTGTTACGTAAATGTTCACCACCATAATTCGAAACTTCTGTAGGTTTTTAATTGGATTAAACCTAAATTCCAGATTGATTATAAACTGGAGAATTAATTCCTTAATAATTTGCTTATGGAGATTAATAACCCTAGCTTAATTCTGTAAACAATGGTTTTTAATTTCCAATACTTAATTAAGGTTCAGTATTCCATGAATACTACTATTTAAGAGTTTATTAAAAATTTAAATTATGTATCTCATTTTCTAAAGTTCTAATTTTAGAATCTAATTATAATTATTTATCCTAATTTTAAATATAGAATATATTATTACTCTTTCTCTTGCCAATTCATGTTCCAAAGCAATATTTCTTTCAGTCAAAGTAGAATTTTAAGCTCTCAAATTTTATATATCTCTATCTCTTAAACTACTTTCTTATTCATGTTTCTAAAGTAATGATTCAAAATCTCTAGTTTTTAAATCATATTAATTTTATATTCTACGTAAATCTTCTATTAATTATTTAATCTCTTAATTTAGTATTTATTTTTCATGTTCTAATCTATCTTAATTTTATTATTATCCTTTAATTTAAGTTTAAAGTGTTATGATATCTAAAAATATATTAATTGAATACCTCTTTCTAATTAATCACACTTTTTTTCATAAACCAATAGATCAGCATGCATTTCTTTTAATTTTCCTATTTAAATATTTCTTTCGTTCTTTAATTGAGTTTGAATTTCTAAAGCTTATTTTAATTAAGTTTCTGTTTTCATATAATCATTTTCTAAATTTAAAATAGCAGTTTCTCTTTTCTTTACTTCTTATTCTAATTAATTTCCATAACTTTTCCATTTCTCCAATTATCCTTTTAGATCTGATGATAACATTTATGATTTTTATAAACTATCTTCCATACTTCTTTCAAACTATGTACATTTATTTGATATTAAAGTATTTTATTATGTCAAATTATTTATTTGTTCTTTTAATTTCCAAATTTCTTGATCTTATTATTGACATTTAGTTGTCAATTTAGTATATTCTACTTTTCCATTTGAAATAATCATATTATTTTATTCAATTTATCTCTATTCTAAATAATAAAAATAGTAAAATTACATTCACTTAATTGTTAATTCATTTATCTTATCTTATTTTCTTATTAAATATTAAGATTTTAAGATATTTATAATTCTTTTTCCTTTTATTATAATTGAGTGATTTAATTTTTCAATTATTCATTTTAAAAATTAAGATTAGATAAGTTCTTTTACAAATTATTTAATTAATCTTTAGCTCCTGAAGAAATTTAAGTTAATTTTTGATTTAACATTTAATTTTACTCTTATTCTTGTTTTAAGTCTTTGTTAATTGAATCTAACGCCATTTTCATTTTTCGATTATCGCTCAACAATTACTCATTTTTCTACACTTATTATTCAAATCCTAAAGTTTAATCTCTAACTTATGTTTTGTATTTTTCAAGGATTTCTTTTTGATTTTAAAGTTCAGACTCTTAAAAAGCATTCTATCTTTTTTATTCCTATAATTATTTGCTAACATTTGCAAATTATTATTCTAAATCAGTTATCTAATTTTCAAGCCCCCTATTAAAATCTGCTTATTTCCTTAATTTCTATAAATCTATCAACAAATATTGATCTTCTTAAATTGTATTTGTTAATCTTTTATTTTCATTTTTTAATATCAATATTTGATCTCTAGATATATATAATATAATATTTTACTATAATTCTTAAATTTCATTCATATTTGATTTGTCTCTTGAATTCAATTGAATACTAAATTATACATTAGATTAAAATACTTGTCACTCTTCAATTTTTAATTTTCCTATTCAAGTGCTCTCCACTAATATCTAATTAAATTATCTTTCTTACTTTAATGTATCATTTTCTTTTGTCAATTTTTGTATTTACTCTAATTAATCTTGATCTTTCATTGTTTATTAACCCATTAATGGATAGTTAAATTATGGGTATTAAGACAATTAAGAACTTGTTTATAAATTTCCATAGCTTAAATTAATTACATACATTACTTATTTGGTTATGTAGATCTTTAAGGAACTGATCTATAATATTAGAAAATATCATCATTACTCGTTTTAGTCCAAAATTTTTTGATTTTAACCATTAAATGTGTTAGATGTCCCTAATTAACGATTCGAATTGAGTTTGCTTCTTTCTTAAAATGGTATCTAAGATTGTGAATTGGTTTCAAACTGACTCATAGATATATATATATATATATTAGAGATATTTTATTTATAAAAAGGTCTAAGCTTATAAACACAAGCATCATATCAAATTAACATCATGAATACTTTACTTTCTCTTCTTCTAAATTTGAGGTTCAATAATCGTTGATGTTAAGCCAAATAAGTTTTTAATAATTTCTTCTCTAGATATTGTTTCTATTGGTGGTTCAATTCTTGAAGTGAAGTTAATAATTTTTTGATGTGGTTCAAATCTTATTTTTCTATTTTTAGATGCTTTTCTATCAACAACTTTGTTTTCTTTCTCTTATCTTTAGGCTTATCTTTTTAATATAAATTATTCTGTTTCCTTTTTTAAAGCTTCTTCAGAAGGGTTTTAATTATTAAATGATATTGTTTCTTTTAATAAATCTAAGTAAAAATCAGTATCATCAAAAATATGTTTATTATTTGTTTCATTTAAATCTGAACCTTCTTCACCTAAAATTCTAAATATTTATCTTTTCAATTATGTTTTCTATCTTAATTTATCAATATTTTATAAGGCTTTTTTTGATTATCCAATAGGAGTTAAGAGTAAAAATCCCATTTATGATTTACTATCTTTATTAATTGATGATAATAATGCTGATTTAGAACTCCATCTTATAATATCATCTTCTACAACTTTAATGGAATCTTCAAAATTATTATTAATTTTTTTTTATGTATTAAGATCATATCCATCATCATTTACATTGATTTAATCAATTTAATAAAGAGATGAATATAAATTGAATAAGTTTGTTATATTATTTAAGAGTTGACAATTCAAATCATTTAATTTTGAATCTTTACTTTTTTATATTTCTGTAACAAAAGCATCCTTTTGAATAGGTAATCTTTTAGCTGCATCTAATGTTTTTTACATTTCTATAAAGAGTAAATTAATAATAATAAATAAATACATTCTCTAATCTCAACTAAATTTCCCCAAATCTATTATTATTCTTTTATTTGTTCTGCTACTTCTTTCAATTCTTTTTTATTTTCTTTTTATTTCTCAATCATTTCCAAATCTTCTTTTTCAATTTATTATAATTCTTTTTAAAATGTACTTAAATTCTATTTCTTTTTAGGTTTTTATTTAACAATCTTTCTTTATTATTCTTAATCATCAGATTCCTCTTATTCCCTTTCTATAAATTCTGGAATTTCATCACTATTAATAGATTCATTTTATAAATCATCCTCACTTTAAGAATGTTATTATTAATTGTTTGTTTTTTTACCTTAATACTTCTATCCCAAATTAATATCAACTTTATGGGATTTAGGTACATGACCTTATAAAAGATTTAAATATTATTCATCATCAATTGAATCATAACTTAGTTAATCTTCCTGATCATTTTCAGGGTCAATTGAATGTTTAATCATGGCTTTTTTCTTTTGCTTAATTTTAGACATATATTAAATTATTTAATATAATATAATAATAATGTATTGCATTGAGGAATACAAATTAAAACTTGAGAAACAAATAAAAATGATTGATAAGGGTATGTTTAGAGAGATGAAAATAATATATAAATTGGTTATAATTGAATTTAATTTGAGATAAAAGTTATTAGTATGAGCTCTTATATACAATCTCAATTTGCTGTTTCTGATAAACAAATCTTTGACTTTCAAAAACCCTAAGAGTGTTCTGATTCAGAGGAAGAAGAAATACGCTTATAACTATTATTTATGAATAATAAGGATTCGAAAAAATAAAAGAAACTATTTGATATTGAAAGCATCAAAGCTGAACTTAATAGTAGACCATCACTTGAAATAGAATAATAAACTTAGAAATTTGGTAAAAAAATACAAAAAGCGAGTATGAGATAATTACCAAATTTGTTTATTCCAACCTCTTCATTGTTGATTGAGTAATTGGGAAATATTAGAGCAATTAAAATGATGAAAGAGTAAGTTCCTCCAGAGGTGATGCATAAAGTATACACATAATTACGGTATATAATGAATTCCATTTAGATATTAGTATATTTCAGCATTCAATGTAATTTATAGATAAGGAGATCAAAACAAACGTTATTATATTATGTTGGATGGTAGATGTGTAGTCATGAAACCCAAAGAGAAAATGGTAGGAATCCAAAAAGTAGAATTAGATATAGAAAATTAAACGACTGATAATAAATTACCTCAAGATCCATATGGTTTAAAAAATCTATTTCCTGATTATCTAGTTGTGAAGGTAATGTTTTAAGGAGAGTAATTTATATATATATATATAATATTAGTTCATTTGGAGAAGTAGCAATTAAATTAGAGAGTTCACGTGCATCCACAGTCTTTGCAGTTGAAAATACTCATTTATTGTATATGAGTGAGGCAGCTTATATTTAATTACTTGATCCTTATTTAAGTTAAGTACTTGAAGAGAAGATCTAATACTTTAAAAAGAATGTTATCTTTACATCTGTTGAAACTGATATTAATGAAATCATGGGTATTTTACTTGAATGTCATAAAATCACCTATAAAGCAGGAGAAATTATTTATGATGAAGGTAATAGATCTAGTTACATTTATTTTATTATAAGTGGAGAAGTTGAATTATCTAAAAAGGTTGCTGATACTAATTTAGTATTATCATCTTATGGAGAATACTAATAATTTGGGGAAGTTGAAATATTAAATAAAGTTGAAAGATTTACTAAAGCTAGAGTAATTACTCCTAGATTGATTGTTTATAAAATAAGGAAGACTAAATTCTTTAATAATTTGGGTAATTTTCTTGTCTATGAAAATATGAAAAGGAAATCTATTCTCATCTATAAACATTGGAAATTAATATACAGTTCTGCTTAATCTTAAATTAATAAAGATTCTGATGTAATCAATTATATATATATTATTAAGCCTTATCTAAGTTCACATCGTAAAAAATTATAATCAAAAATATCTAAACATGAAAGCTCAAATTAAAGTTTAAGTCAAGTTCAAGTATTTTAGCATATGACTGATGCAGGTATTATTCCAGATGACTAACATTGTTTTGCATCTGATGATCAAGGTTCTAAACGTTGTTATAGCAATGCCTTGCAATAATATTAGGCAAAATTAAAAAAATAAGGAAATCGTGCTTCCTAATAAGAGTCAGCTGCAAAATAAATTAGAGATAAGTAATTATATTTTTAATATTATAGAACTTTTACAACAGAAGATTATTAATCTCCAAAAAATGTAGTACATGGGAAATTTTCATTTCATGTTAAATTGCCTAATATTAGTCCAAATAAAGTGTTACCTTAAATGAATTTAGATTAAATACTTGATTCAATTACTAAATTACCTAAGGTTCCACCTGATAATCTTGTTATATCTTTAATGTATTAATAAGCTTACAAATCTAATAATCCTGATAAAAGAGCAAGATAAATATAATAAGTTATACAAGCTTCTTTCAGGAATGTTAGAAAGCATCTAGAATCAAAAGAAAAATTATAATTAAAACCTAGATTTAAATCATAAGATTCATTATTAAAAAACTTAAGAATGAATGATAATATTGAAGAAAAGAAAGAAAAAATAGATTATCTTAACTTTGTTCATCCAAAATAATTATTTTGACTTCAATTATTTACAATAATATTTATTTTACTTTTATATTAAAATTTTTATAATTTTTATTATAGTAACAATTATACAAATTATAATTCACTTGAAAAAGTCATAAAAGAAAATTATCATATTAAATATGCCTACAGAGAGTATTATTAAATAAATTATGACTCTAAAAGGAAGAGACAAATAATTTATGTTTTTATGTTTTACACAATTACTATCATGATCTAATAATGCATCTCCAACATTTGTTCTGTTACCATAATAACATTTAAAATGCATATAAACTGGAATTACATACACTAATAGAAATCCACATACAGCTCCATCAAATGATATAACAATCCCAACATTTATATTAAATAATTAAACAATCAAACATGAACATATGAATATTATCTTTAATCCCCATTAAAATTTTTTTGGATATTCTTTATGATAAAAAGTTTCCAATATTTAGTAGATACTAATATATGGAAATATTGGGAATGCAGCTACTAAATGTACTAAAAATAATCCTTCAATAAATAAAACTGCATAATCTGTTGATGAAAAGAAATCCAAAATCGTTGAAGGATTGATTGCTGTTTTTCCCATTATACCTATTGCTCCAAATGTACCTATTATACCATAAATAACTGCTGCAATCCCATAAGATATAAGTAAATCTCTTGAATTATTTGTCTTATTTGCATTATTTTTAATCAATTATCCAACTGAGTTATGTACCATGAAACCAAATGCAAATTATCCTGCTGGTTATATAAAATTCCAAGTAAACCAAGTTATATCTCCTTTAAATTCATTTATGTTTAACATATTGGCTGAGAAGATATAAATAATAAATATGCAATAACATAAGATAGCAACAACACCATAATGTGCAAATTTAATTATTTTTGTGATGTCTTTTAATAATAACATTGATGCCAATGGTAAGAATATAATTATTGATTACCATTATATTGAAAATTTATCAAAAGTAATACCATCTGAAGGCATAGCATAATTAGTGTAATTGCTTTTTTCGAATATTAATACTAAAATAGGATAGAGTGTTAGATTTATTAATTAAAAATATATTATTCCAACAATAAATAATAATGTTCCTGATGTAACTCTGAAAGCTTAGGTCTATTATTATTATATTTAATTATACCCAAGATTTGCCTAATAATCTTTTAATCATATGTTCACTATCTAATTCTTCTTCCTTTTAATGTATTATCATTATTTAGCATGTTTTGTATTGAACCAAACACAAGATGGCCATCACTATTAAGCATGTTATTATTCCACATTGTTGAAATACTTAAGGAATTACTAAACAAAGGGAACCTACCATTGAATTAGTAATCCCAAAAATTGTTGAAAGAGAAGATTGCTTTTAACCTTCCTAAGCAAAAGATAGTTTTGACATGGCTCTTGTACTTTCATGTAGTTTATGAGACTTGGTACTCTTTTCTGTGTATTCAGATTAGTTGATCATAATATATAATAAGTATTCCCATTTATTTTTAAGATTTTTTAAATTGTTATTACATGATGTAACCATTTACGTATATATTTAAAAATTAATTAATAATACTTATTTTTATTATATAGAAGTTGAATGTATATATATTTTAAACTTAATTTACTACTTTATAAATTGGAGTAATTTATTCTACTATATAGAAGTCTTATTGTGAATAACTCATAATGAAATAACATTTATGTTAGCTTTATTTTTTTATTAATATAGTAATTAATAATAAATTTTGGTTGTAAATAAATAAATTAATTGTTGTAAAATGCTACTTAATTCAACAGGTTAACGAAAACTCAAACAAAATAGTTTATCTACTTTTAAAAGTCCTATAATAGTTCCATCAAGTTAATAAGTTTCTCCTGTAGCATCAGGACTGAATAGTTTGAAAAATCTACATAGTCCCAAAGGATCTCAAATTGATGTCACTAGTCTAACTCGATTAATAAAATCAACAAAAATTAATGAGGTAAAATAGCTTATATTGTATAGTCAGTAAATAACCAATAGATATAAGCTTTACTTGCAAAAGCTAGAGAAATAGCAAAAGTAACGACAGAGTCTAAATAATAAGTACAAAAAAAGCATGTTAAATTACAGAGTTAATAATTTGTAAACTTTAAAGACTTACTTCATAATTCTACTTCCACTAAGATTCAATTAGAAATGTAATTTTGCAGAAATGCATTTAATTTTGATTTTGTCATTGGAATTGGTGGATTTGGTAAAGTTTGGAAAGTTGAACATAAAAAAACAGGGTAAATATTTGCAATGAAAGAAATGTCAAAAGCATTGTATTAATTTAGTGTTAATTAGAATTGTAACAAAGAAGAGTGTACATTCTGTAATGAATGAAAGAACATTATTAAGTCAATTAAAGCATCCATTATTAGTTAATATGAACTTTGCATATTAGGATAGAGAAAATCTATATTTATTTATGGACTATATGAAAGGAGGAGATCTTAGATATCACATAGGAAGAATGAGAAGATTTGATGAAAACTCAACAAGTATTGATACAATATTATTAATAAGAGTTTTTTATAGCCTGTATTGTTTAAGGATTAGAATACATACATTCAAATAAAATAATTCATAGAGATATCAAACCTGAAAATTTAGTACTTGATGAAAAAGGATATGTTCATATTACTGATTTTGGTATAGCTAGAATAATGAAAGTTGAAAATAGTTGTGATACTAGTGGTACTCCTGGATATATGGGTAAGAGATATAGATTTATATTTCTAGCTCCTGAAGTTATGTGTAAATAAAATCATACTTATGCAGTTGATTATTTTGCAGTTGGAGTTATTGCTTATGAATTTATGATAGGAAGAGTAATTATTTTCATTTAATATAGAGACCATATGTTGGAAGATCTAGACAAGAAATTAGAGATTAAATTTTAGCTAAATAAGCTTAAATTAAAAGAAATGAAATACCTGATGATTGGTCAATTGAAGCAGTCGATTTTATTAATAAGGTATTCATAAAAATTAAATTTATTTAGTTACTTCAAAGAAAACCATAAAATAGATTAGGTTCTAATGGAATTTAAGAAATTAAAGAACATCCATGGTTTGCTAATTTTGAATGGGATAAATTGTAAAATTAAACAATAATTCCTCCTTTCATTCCTAATGTATGATTCTGTATAATCTTTAAAGCAAACAGAAGATAATTTTGATTAGAAATAAATTATAGTTGAGGATGAGGAAAATAATGAATTAATTTAATAAAATATTTTAGTCTTAAGAGATTAAACCATATAGGGTATTTCTATTTCATAATAAAAATAGATCAATTTTAAGGATATGAATTTCATCAAGGAAATCTTTCTATTTCTACTGAATAATCTTCTGGTTCATCAACTAAACATAGTCGTCACCTAAGTGAAAGATTGCATTTCTTTGAAAAAAAGAAGATTATATGATCAAATTTAGTTTCAAAATTTTTACATCGTTTAATAAATAATAAGATAATCCAATATAAAGATTAACTAAAATATAGATCAAAATATCAATTTGTTTCTATTAAAAGTACTATTTTAAAAAATACCTTTTAAAAATTAGTCTTCACTTCCATTCTTTGAGACATTCTTTCGATTTCAAAGAAAACAATAGAACTTCACTCATGTAAATGAAATAGAAAGTATAGATTGTGTCTTTGAATATTTGAATTTAAATTTAACACTTCTTGTAAATTCCTTAGTCAATTAATTAAATCATGACATATTGGATAAACGGACTTTGAGGTCTTTAACTAAGAATTGTCAAAGGAAGGATTATTGAGGAAACTTTTTGGCTCGTTTTTTATTTATTCAAACAATAACTTTATCTTTAATAAAATGTAAAATACTAAATAAATTCTTTGAAAAATTATTAAACAATCGAATTAAGAAAAATGAGTGGTTTCAACAAATCAGAAGGACAATTATAGAAAATTTAATTTCCACAAGAATCAAAATAAATTTTGATCAAAATAATTCAATCTATGATTAGAAATTAATTATTGATACTCAATAGATTGATTATGTGACCTAATTAATGAAAGTTTGATTTTTATACAATCATAAGTACCTCCTTTTACAATTTAATACTGATAATTGTATGAATGGTATTTTTGATTATTAAATCTCATTTTATTATCATTTCTCAATAATTAGGTGTACTTACTTGATAAAATTAATAGAAAGCATTAAAAAAGATATAAATTTACTTGTACTAATTGGATCCTTTTGAAAGTTCTCAAAAGATGTCATCAATGATTAATAGAACAACAGATGTTTTATGTTCAGAATTCAATAATATATATTGTAGTTCTCAAACATACTGTGGTAAACTACATGAAATTAGAGACTTCTATTGGGTTTTTAGCTAAAAAACAAAATTTAAAATATAAAGGACACCTTAAGAGGAATTTTTTACGCGCCTTAACTTTTTGAATAAAAAGATTTTTTAACATTATAAATACTTTATAAAGAACTTTTGTTATTTCATAATTAATAATATGAATTAAAGTCACTAAGTTAAAAAAAGAAGGAGTAAAGGTAAAAGTTCTTTCTAAATATCTAATCAAATATTCATCTAAGGAGAAGAACAAAATAAAACAGTTTAGAATGATTAAATAAGAGAAAATGTCTTTGTCTACCTAAACCTTTCAGATTCATCTTAAGAAAGAGAATACTCATGTGATTTGGATTAAGATCTACATACAGTGAAAACTAAAAAGAACAACTTCATCATAAAAAAGAAAAATTATTTATCCTAATAATTCAAATGTGGATAATGTAATGAGGTTTTCTAAAAATCTTAAAGTCTTGGAGGACATACACAAAAAAAACACAGAGTAGAGTAGAATTAGTTAGCCAGACTGTCATCAATCAGAAGGATCATTTTAAGAGAGAGACCTGCTCAAAACAGGTAACAAGGATTTTGAATTCTAATTCCTAATTATATATATATTCATCGTATAAACATATTCAAATATAAAAGATATTCTCATTATTATTATTTTTTTCTAATTATAATTAAGAAAATTAAGATACTTTAAGAATAATTAATGTGAGATAAAAATTAATATAAATTAATCAGTTAATAAAGAGTATTATAAATTAAAAAATTTAATTACAAACATGTTTCAATAATTGAATTCATATTTCTCTATAGAAATAAGATTAATTTTGATACAATTTATCTGAATATATCATTTTTATAATAAAATACTTATTATTTAATACATTTAATCTAAATAAAATCAAAATAATTAGTTAATAAGTAATGATTTTAAATTATATTCATAAATTTTTATTTATAATTCTATATATCATTTTATTTCAAATTATTTTTATTCATGGATTCAAAATAAATCATAATTTGTTAATTTTTCAAATTAAAATAATAAAATTGACATAAAGCTTTTATCATTTAATTATATTTATTTAAAACATTTTAATAAATAGTTATAAGTGAAAAAAAAAAAATATAATGATTGCCTATCTTATATTTTTATAATTATTCAATTATGTTATTTTTTAAAGTGTTTGTTAAAAATCATTTTCATAAAGATTACACTTAAAAATTTCACATGAAAATAGTGCCATCAATTAGTATAATAATTAAATAAATTTAATAAAATATTATTTATGGATTAATAATTAGAATAAGTAAGTGTGGATATTTAGAAAATTGTATATAAAAAAGCAATGTTACATGCTTGTAAATATTCAACTGAAGATGTTATTGGTAATGATTAATATAATGATTTAGGAATTCTGATTGGTTAAATTAATGATAAACATGTTAATATTTTAGATGCCTATCCTTTATTCCATTCTAGAGTTAGTCTTAACACTTTAGAAATATCTTTAGATATTGTAATTGAATGTCCAATTCATAAAATTAGATATCAAGTGAATTACAAAGTGATAGAAAAATTATTGGAGTATATGAAGCAAGAGCTAATACTAGAGGAATTATGAGTGAGATAGTTTAAGAAATGCTGAACACTATTAATTAAAAATAAGCAATTTTGATGAGAATTTCATAAATTGAAGTAGATGATAATCTTGTTTTGAATGCTAAAGTAAGAATTTCTATAAAATAAGATTGTTTCTTTGAATGAAAATGTTAAATATGTGATTAATTCTTCAAGTACCTTAGAATGGAAAATTATTTAGGATTGCTTAAAGGCTGGTCTTCATTGGAAAATTATAGATTTTGATGCTCATTTTGAAAATGTGTAATTAAATTTCCGAAATCAGTATTTAGAATGAATTATATGAAATAGGTTTATAATATTCATCTTTACTTCCTTTATAAAACTTAATGACTGATATCTTTATAGGATTCACCATACATATTCTCAGCTTTAATACCAGTCATAAATCCAGTATATCCAACAATAGGAGGTTTTTGTTATTCATACTAGTATATAAATATCTAATACAGTTTATCTGAATTTATCATTAGTTTCTAACATAGTCTTTGCCATTTCTTTTTCCATTTAATTTAAGGGATGTACAAAAGGTTAAGGTTTTTCAGGAGGAACAACTTATTTTAATGGATGTCTAAACACTGGTCTGAATCCTTAATATCCAACCACAGGTAATCTATCAATTGGTGGTATATCATTAATTGTTTTAGGCATTGATCTAAAAACTTCAAATTATAGGATTTACTAGTATGTTCGATAATTTCTTTCATTAATAGCTTTTTCTTATCGACGAGCATCTTCTAAAATTCTTTCAGCTGCAGTTTGAAGTTAGGGTTTTCTTAGATTTGGTTCCTAGATAACTGTTAAATTTATACTCCAAACTCAATCTTATAACTTGTTTATAATCTTTCTCTCTCTTCAGAATTTGTACATCTAGCTAATCTTTCTTCCATACATTCAGCTGTTATCTTTGCAAAAGGTTTTCCATATTATGATTCTAAATTATAATTAAATGAGCACCTGCTTTTAATCCTCTTACATGTCCAGCATACCCAGGTACATGTTGCTTTTATAATTCATAAGTAGGACCTCCAATCCAAGTTTATCCTGTCACAACTTATTCTGTCGAAGGAATCAAAGAAATTGTTTTCATTTATTTATTAATATAAATATTATATGATAATTTAGGTATTAAAAATTAATCATTTCAAATTATAAATTATATTTCTATGTTTAGATTATATTCTTGATTATAAAATATTATTTTTCAAACTTAAAAACTATATAATTGGTTGTTAATTTAGTAATTATTGTAAATTAATTATGTTATTTATTTTTTTTAAACAAAATTATACAAAAGTTACTTCTTATACTCTTTTTTAGATAGATATTAGTTTTATTTTTGTTAACTTTATATTTTTTGAATCAAATTGATCATAATATTTTTGAATTCAATGAAATTTAATCAAGAATACTATTTTAATACATTTTTAATTAATGCTTCTACAATAATCTATTAGTATTAATATTTTTGAAGATTGTTTTAATTATATGAGTTGATTATCAAAAGAAGACTTATGAAATAAAATATTAATATACATTTATTAATAATTAAAATAATTATGAGATCAAATTCATCAGCTTATACACCATAAAATCCTGAAGTCTTTCACAAAGGACATATCCATTTCTTTGATTTGTTATCATCATTTCATGGTTTGGAGGATTAACCTGACTATCCAGTTTAATAATAAACAATTTAAGATAAGCTAAGACATCAATATCTTCATGATAATAATTGGGAAGATAGTAAAGCAATTTTATTATGATTAGAATTATGTTATAGAACATGCTTCAAAATTTAAGATAAGGAGTATGTTTAATTCTGTTTAGACAAGAAATGTTAAGGTGCACCATATTTGAAGGCAGCTCAAGTTTTGGGATATGTTAAATCTGGAAATCCTACACCAAAAGCTCATGGACATCACCATCATTGATATAGCATTTATACATAAATAATAATAATAATCAAAAATTGTTATTAGTCTTAAGAAGAGTTAAAATCTTTTGCATTTGAATTATGGAACGAATAATTTGATTTTGAAAATTCATCAAATCAATATTACATGTCTATATACATTACATTAATAATAAGGAAATAGTACTTTTATTATTATTTACTAAGACTTATTATTAATATTAATATGAAAAATATTTTTAGTTATTTCTATGGATCATCTGTAAATAAATTATTAAGTATAAAAGGAAAACAAAAATAGTGAAATTAAAGATCCTAAACTTGATTAACAATTTGAAACATTTATTTTTGAATTTACTTCAAATGAATATTTCCCTGTATATGAGAAATGGACAAAAGGAGAAGAATAAGAATATATAGGTCTTTAGTTATTTTTAATTTAGATTACAAGTTATAAGATATAGAAGACATTTACTTAAATAACTATGACTAGCAATTAAAATTTTAATAAGAAGAGACAA